AACTCCTCCTTGTTGCCATGGACTGGTGGGGATGGGTGGTGGTGAGCTGAGCTCCAAGTTGAACACTGCCATTTCCCCTTTACAGGAGTGCTGGTGTGGGTTTCTGCTCCTACCCATCCTGTCCCAACTTGAACTAGGATTTGCTTTTCACTGCCAACTGTTTTTGTGATCAAAGAATGGCTTGAGTTGGAAGGGACCTCAAAGACCATCCAGTTCCAACCCCCTGCCAGTCTCTGCTCATAGAATCATAGAACTGGAATAGACCTCCAAGTTCACTAAGTCCAGCCATCAACACCATGCCCACTAACCCATGTCCTTCAGTGCCACATCTCCAGATTGGTTTCATATTGGGAACAGGCCAGATGGGAGCAGGCAGGAATGATCTCCCTGTTGTCACGGCACATGGATAGGTGGAAGGAGGCTCTGCTGTGTACCAGTAAAATAGCTGAGAGAATTTGGCTTGGCACATGGAAACGAAACATTTTGACACACTGAAAGTCTAAGAAAGGATTTGCAGAAAGAGGAAAGCTATTGTAGCTAAAAAGCTCTGGGAAAGGACTAGATGTTTCAGTCCAGTGATGTACAGGTAAGGGGGAGGCTCTCCTGTAGCCAGAAGAGGGCTTGGAGTAGGCAAGGCTGCATGTTGTGGGTTTGTGTGTGGGAGGGCCATTTGTGGCTGTTTGTTTTTAATGCATCTCCATCCTTTGCAAGTTGGCAAGAGTCACTGTGGAAAACAGCGAGGCAGAATCCTGTGTGGTTTAACTGAGCCTTTGCAGTGTATTCCTCTGTCCAGGCAGAGTTATCGCTCCAATAAGCAGGGCTGCTCCAGCAGCACCTAGACTGTATCTGATTGTATTTGTGTAAGACGAGAGAGAATTCACAATAATCCTACTGGCAATTAATTGGCTTTTGTTCAGCAAGAGTGAACAAGATCTCGTCTTAATCTGCTTCATTATTTCTCCTTGTATAGCAGAGTCAACACAAGATTAGGTTTAATTTACAAAAAAATGCAAAGTCGTTTCTCATATCTGGATCAGGATTTTATCTGTTTCGTTTTGCAATGTTTCACGTGTCAATATTAACGGAAGGCGCTGCACGGTGTGTGGCGAGGTGGAAACGGCTCCACTTGACTCCAGGACCTTTTGGAAGGATTGCAAGTAGCAGAGCTCTGACACCATCCCTCTTCCTCAGAAAAGCAGCTTCATGCTTAGGAACACGAGCTGCTTTCTGTAGGGTGGTGGGCTCAGAGCTGATGCTTTCAGCTCTTGTCTCCTAAATCTTATGCAACAGCAACCTGTGGTGTACGCCTGGAGAAGACCTATGGGAAGCCAAAGGGAAGTGCTGTGTGGTCCTTGAGGTCAAAGATGGGTTAAACACCAGGTGGGAGGCTGTGCCAGTTTTCTGTGATGGTCACTGTCTGAGGACAGCCTGTTCCTGGCAGCACAGGGAGGCCAGATTGATGGGTTCTGATTTTCTGCATGGCTGTGGATGTACATCTGCCTGTGTGTTTGCCTACACCTGTGAATGTGTTTCAGTGCACATATCTCAGTGCTCGTAAACCCATTCCATTAGTCAGAACTACAGAATCATTTGGGTTGGGAAGGGCCTTTAAAGGTCATCAGGGCCAACCCCCCCTGCAATGAGCGGGATATCCACAGCTCCATCAGTGCTCAGAGGCCCATCCTGTCTGACCTTGGGTGTCTGAGGGGATGGTTCACTACCCTTGTTGTAAAAGTAGTCTGTCTGGCAGGAACAGAGTGGCAAGAGATGTGTTCCCCACAATTAATCAGTCCAGTGAGCACACTTACATCTCTATCGTGGTTTCTCTGTCCTTCTGGGAACGCTGATTGCACTGCAGTTAATGGGTTTGCACTGGTGGCAGCTCCAGATGAGTTGCTCTAAGTGCCTGCAAGGGAGGTTAGCCAAGGGCACGTGTAATACAGCTGGGACTCCCATCTTCCTGGGGAGGGCTGTTGAACTTTGCATGCAAGGAAGGTATCAAAGTGCCTGGGCACACTGTAGATGGGGATGCAGACAGTCCTGCAGTTCATTCCACTGCTGAGACAAGAGGAGGTGCAGTGTAGTCATTAGAAACGGGTACAATGAGTACAAGGCAGAACCAAACACTTGAAGTTATTCTGAATATCTCCTGCTTACAAAGCAGCAGCCAGCAGCACCTGAGGTCGGGCTGGCTCCCAGCTCTCTGCCTGCAGCCCGAGTGCCCTCTGCTGTCACTGTGGCTCTGTTTGTGTGCTTGCTTTATTTTATGATTCTTTGTCATCTCCCCCTTTGCACAGCAACATTAGCTATATACGTTCTCTAAGCTTTTTGGTTTATCTGAGTATGTTTTCCTTCCAGGCTGCTGTGCACAGAGTTCAGCTCTTGTGCAGCTGTTGCATGTAGCAGTGATGTTTTCTAGCGCTCATGGAGCTTTTCCCAGTTGAGTTCATCATGGATGTTCTCTCTCTAATTCACACCTTTCCAATGGGAAAGCATCATGAAGCCCTTTTTTCCCTAACAGTTAGGGACACTGAGTGGGCTGGGCAGTGCCCCAAGGACATGAGGACAAACAATGTATGGATGGAGGAACTGCTCACCTCTTGCTCCTCTTGCTGGGAGGCAGCAAGGAAGGAGTGGGAGTCATAGAATCATTAAGGTTAGAAAAGACCTCTGAGATCATCCAGTCCAGCTGTCCAGCTGCTGCCTGTACTGCCCAGTAAACTGCATTCCTAAGTACCACACCTACATGCCTCCTGTAATGGTGATCCCACTACCTCTCTGGGCAGCCTCTTCCAGTGCCCAGCCACTCTTTCAGAGAAGTTTTTCCTAATATTGAACCTGAACCTCCCCTGGTGCAACTTGAGGCCATTCCCTCTCACCCTATGGCTGTATCTGGGCTGCAGGAAGAGATGTGAGCTGTGGGGATGTTTGTTCACCAGCTCAGTGTTTGCTGGTTATTTGAAACATCTCTACTCCTGACAGCCTTGTGGGCCAAATACAAGGCTGCTGGCATCCTATCCTATTTGGGATTGTGCTCATCTCTGCCACAGCTTCAGGCCAAAAGCTCTGTACTCCATTATCCTGGCTTTCAGGAAGGGCCATTCCTAGCCTCTACAAAGTATTTGATTTAGGGGGAATCAATCTCTTAAATTATCCTCTTTTAAACTGGCTAGAACAGCTGGGCTGTGAGCAACAGGGAGTTGTTTTTCTCCTCCTCCCCTCATCTTCAAACAGTTTTGAATGCCTGGTGGGGGAGCATACTCCTCCATCTGTCCACAACCTCCCCAGGTGGGTAATAATAGATGCTTCTTATAGAAAAATTCAATTAGACTTGACAAGAGATGTATGTTAGTGCTTCCTTGCCAGGGCCCTGTCTTGCTCTTTTCTGTTCCTCTGCAAGACACCAACTGCAGAAGCTATTTTGGAAGAACAAAACAACCACCATTTTTAAGTATAATGGTATTTACAGCCAGGACTGGCTGTGGTGGGTTTTGTGGGATAGAAAATTACTGACAACAAGGTGCAGCAGGCTAGCCAGGATGTCAGATGCTGACAGCAGGAAGGCCTGTGTGCAGTGCTGTGACTGGGGATTCTCTTTGTGACTCTGAACAGTAAAACAGCCAGGGTTAGAGATGTGTTCATTCATCTTAGCTGCCAAAAGCTCTAAGCTCTGGTTCCTGTGTTCAGGAGTGGAGGGAGACCTTTCTGTTTTTCTTTCTTTTTTTCTTCTTTAGCTTTCTAAATACTTGGCTGATAAAGTATCTGTGAATTATTTCTGTACTAATATCTTTTTTTTTTTTTGTATGGTACATTGCATGTCTGCACTGTTCATCAGTATTCCCAAAATCTACTATGTAGTACCCAGGGTTGGCACAACAGACAGCATTAGAAACCCTCCTTTGGTCACTGAAGCTACATGTGATAGAGCCCTTTAGTGGCAGAAAGCATTAATGCAGCTAAGCCGTTTTGTCACAGTTGGACTTAGTTTCTTTAGTCCTATGAAACTGCACAGTTTTCATTCCCATAAAGTCTGTGATGTGTGAGAGGCCGTTCAGCTCGTGTGCTCTGTTCAGTCTTGGACAGAAGCTGAGTGGGATGGATGAATGCAGTACAGATTTCAGTGCATTCACACTTCATGTGTATGATCAAAAGGCATTAGGAGTAAAATATCTGCAATGGATCGAGCAGCTGAGATTATTTTCCAAGTACACAGGCACCCACTTTCCTTACTTGCCTTGTAACTCTAGCACTGAGTGCAAGGAGTCAGTGGCAGCTCTGCAGACTCTGCAGCAGAGCTATTTTCTTTAATGAAACTGCAAGACATGGAGTATCTCTGGAAGCATCTCTTGAAACTGAGTGGGAAGGTCAGGACAGCCAGGCTGCCTCTAGCAATCAGTGTGAACATCAGGGGAAAGAAAGCCCCTGACAGCTGCATTTCTTGTAAGGGAGCTGTGTGCATTGAGTGGTTCAGCCTAGATAAGCCTTAAGTGGGGACTGTGGCCGTACCCTGTATTTACAAGGGACACAGGATCTGAAAGCTTAATCCTGGACTTTATCCTGACCATAACATGATGGCTTAGGAGAGATTCAATTTAACAATTGCATCCAGACCTGGTATATTGATCCCCTTGCTGCTCTGATCCTTAGGGATACACCAGGGCCTTGGGGCAGGGCTCTGGAAGTGAGCTGAATATTAACCTAGAAATGGGTCAGCTGCACTAAACACTGTGCTGAATAAAGCTGTATTGTGTCATTGTGTGACTGTGTGCAAGGTAATGGAAAGTGCTGACTGGTTCTGGTCTCTCCTGGAGCAGAACAGCAGAGCTCACAGCAGAGCTACACTTGCAGATACCCGTGGGCCAGAGCTGAGTGTTGTAAGAGGCTTCCTGGACCTTCTCCATGCCTTGCATGAACTCCCACGACCTTTTTAGTATATCCCTGCCTGCTGCTGCTCTCCACTGCTTAAGCACAAAAAATAATACTCAGCACACAAGCAAAGATCCACATACAGCTCCTTTTATTATGTTTGCTCGGACTCTGGCTTGGCTGTGGTTTGGAAGGCTGTGTCCAAGGCAGCTGGGGACAGGCTTGGCTCAGGTAAGCTTAGATACCTGTGTTCAGGATGGTGGCTTACAGCCCTGAGTGACAGCAAGAGGCACTAGTGGGTGTACATACAAAGTGCTGTCTTGGTAAGCATCTGCAGTAAAGGCAGACATGTACTTTCTGCAGACATAGTGGGCAGGAAGGACTGAGATCAAATGGAGGTAATGACAGGTTTCTGTGTGAAGAATATTGCATGAATCTCCTGCCTGCAAGGAGCAGTACTAGATTGGCATGAAGCATGCAGAGGCCAGGAAGGGGTAGATGCGTTATTTTTGCTCCTGGGCCCCTTCCTCAATTTGCTTCTGTTTCCTTAAGTCCTTGTCTCTCTCCCAGCAATTATCTTCAGCTTTTTAGGAGCCAAATGAAGCCCCATTGAGAATCACAGAATCATTAAAGTTGGAAATGACCTCTAAGATCATCAAGTCCAACCATCAACCAATGACCACAATGCTACTGCAGTGAATTCAGCTCCCACCACTTCCCTCTGCAAGGGGATGTTGAGAGCATTGTAGGACAAAGGGATCCAATCCCCATTGCTTGGCATTATCATCACCCAGAATCGAAATGGAGATCCAGAGCACTGCTTAGCGCCACGCTCAGGTAAGGCAGGCAATGGCACGTGGGGCTGGAGGCATGGAGTTGGCAGCTGCAGTGATACCTCTCCAGAGCTAGGTGATTTCATGTGACAGAGAACATCAGTGCAAAGGGTGAGACTGATCGTAAGGTGGTTTCATAAGTCTGTTCCTATTCTTTGCATAGTACCCTTAAGGAGGGATGGATGGTGGTCTCTGCCAAGCACATTCATAACTGAGCCGTATGCTCTACAGCCTGGAAGCAGCACCATGCAGAATCCATCCAAAGCTCATGGGATGGCCTGAGGGAAGTCAGCTCTGGCAAGCAGGCCCCAGTTCAGCTTGACTATGGTTCCACTGTTACGCTGCTGTTGGTAACACGTACACCATACCATCCTTTCCAGAACAGTGTGTCCTGGCCACCATGCTCAAAGCGGACAAAGCGGACCCCAGGACCATAGTCAGAAAAGGTGTGGGAGATCTAGAGGTTGAGAGAGACAAAATAATGTCCAGCTACCGTGAATCTACTCCTTACCTTCACTGGGCCTTCAACTCCACCTGCCCCATCCAACCTACCAGCTTGGGTAGCAATGAGTTTACAGTGAGAAAGAAGTAATTGGAGGGAGCTTTGACCCCAGTCTATTCAGAAGCCATTAAATGCTTATGGAGGGGTCTCTCTTTCACTCCCACAGACTTGTAGTAGGGATGGCTCAGCAAGCTTCCAAGTTTTATGTAAGATTTGCTGTATAACCCCTGTGCTCAATCACAATCCATGATAGAGCCTTCTCCTCCTCCAGAATAACCCCTCCCGCTTCTGTCTGCTTGAAAACATTCCTGGTTCATGCAGGTTGATTGTCACCTGCATGAAACCACAGCTGTCACTCACCTCAGTCCAGCTGGCATCATTGTCCTCTGGGATAGCAATGGTCTCAGTCTTGTACTCGGCCAACACATCCTCGTTCTCTGACAGCAGTTTCACACACAGCTCATAGAGGCAGCCGGCGTCACTGCGTCCTGCATACCTGCAGGGAAACCCAAGCAGCAGCCTTGCCTGTATGAACACTTTTACTCCAACCCACTGCCTGTCCTCCACCAAAAGAGCTTTAGATGGTTGCCATATGCGCCAACAGCTTGAAGCTTGGGGAAACTACCAGTGGTTCTTTGAGTCAAGATCAAGCCCTGTCTCACATCTAGAATGGCACCAAAGGCGACGCAGTGAGATGAGAGCTAGAGCTCCAAGGCCTGGTGTATGCCATTCCTGCTCTGTCTAGGCTTTCTGCTGGACTTCTAGGGCGTCCTTGCTACTTACCAGTCTTTCACCACAACTTTTGGCTGGGTTGTATCCATCAGCTCTTCCCAGTAGCCCTCAGCTCTAAGGTCGATGACCTGCGACTTTCTACACCACCTGAAACACAAGAGGGTAATGGATACCACCACCTCTCTGAGGCTGGAGAAAACAAAATTATCCCCTCTCCTGATTAAGAGAAATAAGCAGCCTTACTCATAAGATGTAACAAAGTATTTATGGACTTCTTCACTAGGGAATTCTTTTCCAAAGTCCCCAGGGAGCTCTTCAATTTTCCAGCCATCACCTCCATTTTCTACCTCTCCCCAGTGCTGCAGGTCTTCTGCAAATGGAAGAAAGAATGTTTGGTCATAGCTTGTGGGCCTGGAGAACCTGGCCATCTTCCATAGGGACTCCTCTGCAGCTTGGAACAGACACACTGCCATCCAACTCTGTATGTGGATCATCACACAATGAGACATTTTAAGTGGAAGCCTGGCAAAAAACAACACTTTACTTTGGTTGAATGGTAACAAACGTCAACATTCCCCACTAAAATGACTGTGTCTATGTGGGTCTACTTTAAAAAAGAGTAGTAAAATGGTTTAGGTGTTCCACCTCAGTGCTTTTGTGTCTTATTATAGAAATACCTGGGGAGAACTGCTGATTCCCTTATTATTTCTTTTCCCTTGTTTCATTCTTTTTGTTGAAAAATAACTCATATTAAATCCCTCATTTTCTGTTCTTTCTGGTGGTGTTCTCAAAGCTTTTAGCACATAGTTAAATGCTTATACAGCTAGAAACTGCAGGGCCTTATATTGCTTTTCTCCTCTTAGCCTGAGAGAAGAGCTTGCAGAAAAATCACTTCTTTTTAAATAAGAAAAACGAAAATGTTGTGTTGATGGTCTGTGTTGTGCTTTGGTCTATGAGGTGTGAAATGTACTGTGTTGCTGCTTGGGTTATGAGGCTTGGGTTATGAGGCTGCTTCTATCTAAACATCCTGCAGATGGCAAGTAGAGTTCAGAGATCGTAAAATAACAGCAAGTGTTGTAGTGTGCACAGCTCAGTGATATGGGTTGGAATAAGCAAGACACAAACAAACTGCAAGGAAGGAAGCATGAAATGCCTGCTGAGCTAAGAGCAAATGAGTTCCTGAGCAGGGGAAGGCTTATCTTTTAGGTTGAGGTTTGCCAAAAAGTCATCTGGAAGCCCAGGTGCCACCTACCAGTACAGTTCTGCAAAGCATGGTTCACATTCCTGCAGGGGCTCACATAAAGCTGATGTCATGGAGAGCCCTTCACAAAAGCTGCTTTGATGGAAGGCCTTCTTGCCCAAAGTGGTTTGACTGCATGCATGAAGTGATTTGTCTCTGGGGCAAAAAGAAAGTGCATTCTGATGGCAACCAAGGTCTTTTTTAAAGACTGAAGGTGCCCAGTTTTCAGAAGGCTTGGGCCTTGTTATGCTCATCTCTCACCTTCGCCACAGGGGTTCTTGATGAGATTTCTTCTTCTCTTACTCAAGAAGTAGAAGTTTTGCCAGTTCTCCGCATTCTCCTCTGACTCTGCTCCAGCAAAGCCTTCCTGCTGACACTTCAGGATCCAAAGAGCAGCTCCATCAATCAGGTTCTTCCACTGGCAGCAGACCAGGCGGCACGCCAGCACCAGATCCACTGCAGGTATGGAAGCCAGGATTCTGATCAGCACCGCTTCAGGGAGGGACTCCATCCTTGGTCACCCTGGATGAAGCTTTCTGAGAAAGGGGAAAAGAAGTGGTAATGCACTGTTCCACCAGATAGGGGCTCTCCTGTTACCAATGATGTCAAATGCATTAGAAAAAAAGAAAAGGGAAAACAAATATGTTTATCTGAAAGGCAGGTGCAGCATAACGTGGGGGGTATTCCTGACCTAAGGGCCTCGGGACCCCTCTAACTCACTACCTTGAAGCACGTGAGTAGATTAAAGTTATAAGTGCCTACAGATGCATTGGGTTAAACAAGCATGATGCTCCATCCCCTTCTGGCTGCTTTCCTGCCTATCTACGCTTGCATGGGGTTGTATGGGGTCTTGATGGTCATGTGGGGAGTACTCCCCTTGTGTTTGGTCACACATCATCTAGGGACATCGTTACTCCCATTTTGCACTGATGCTTTCTTGGTTCCAAGGCCATAGAGGAGGGCTATCCAGGACCAGGCAAATTTCTGCTGTCAGGCAGCGCTGCTCTCTGGGGATCCCTGGCACTTATCCATGCATCAGCTACTGGAATAAACTTAAAACAAATAACAATTAACCTAAGAATAGATGTGCTCTGTCACAGCAGAATCAGTCCCCTCTGCTTAGGCTGCCCACAGGGCTGGCTGTCGGGAAGCCTTCTTTCCCTCGGGGCTGGCACTGAATCTCCTTAGTCACGATGCCGTGTAAAGCACGGGTCTGAGCACTTCAAATCTCACCTGCGTTATTTTCGGTCCATCTTCCTTTTCCTACGGCCCGATAACCGCAGTTACACGGCAGAGCGAGCTATCGGCGCTGCGCTCTGCGTGCTCCGGGCTTTGGGGCAGAGAGCTGCAGAGCGGGGAGAGATGGGCGTGCACACAGAGCTCCGTGCGGGACGCACTGACATTGCTTTTGTCTCAGCCGTGCACTGAAGCGGGGAAGCTGCACTGAATCGCACAGAGCCAAACTCTGCGGGAGAAAATAAGCACTGAGCAGGGCATGCGGAGCGGGCAGAGCATCCCGGCGTGCTGCTGCAAGAAACACGGCACGGCGAGTGGGGCAAGCAGGGAAGCAGTAGGAAACAGCATCCCGAACCCATAAATAGAGCTCTCTTCTCTGTCTGTACCGCAGCCATCAGAGGGAAAACATCATTTAAAAATCCCTGTTGTTATTATTTTTACGGAGAAACAACGAGGATACCTTACTCCCCCCTTCTTCCCTCCATGCTGCGATCTTAAATGGCAAAATGCGATCGACCCTCAGCAGAACTCCTCGGGTAACCCCTCCCAGGGCTGTTTGTTCTCTCTGCTCCTCCAATCCCCTCCCCATCACCCCGTCCCGCCGCTCCTACCTCGTGCTCGGCGCTGCTGCCGCTCGCTGCGTCGCTCCCGGTTCCCCTCAGCCCCCCCCGCCGCTCCCCGCCCCGCGCCCCGCCCGCTGCGGAAGAGCGAAGCGCGGCCTCACATCCGCGTCCGGAGCGCAGGTGGGGCTGTGGCTGCGATAGCACGGAGCGTTCGACCCCTTTCCCTCCCCCTCCCCTCCCCCCCCGCTCCCCACACAGCGTACAGCTCCGCTTTTGGTTTCGTTCTGAGCCCTGCAACCCCTGCTGATCTCTCCGTATCGCAGCTGCCTGGAAACCGTTCGTCTGCCATCGGTTCTGCACAGCCATGGCCACCATCAGTGACCTCCCCGAGGATGTGCTGGTGGAGCTGCTGTCCCTGCTGCCCGCCCGGGACCTGCTCCGTGCATGCAGGCTGGTGTGCTCCCAATGGCGCGACGTGGTGGATCTCGCCACCCTCTGGAAGCGCAAGTGCCAACGCGAGGGGTTCTACGTACAGAGCTTGGACAGGAGCATCACTGACTGGAAAGTGTTTTACCTGCTGTGCAAGCTGAAGAGGAACTTGATCAAAAACCCCCGAGCCGAAGGTTGGTTTGTTGGTAGAGGGCCTATGGAGTTTCCCAGCAGTTGGGATGTGCCCTGCAGTGCCTCACTATTACTGGGGCCGTGGCACTGAGTCAGATCCACGAGGAAGCGCTGTGTAATGCTGTTTGGGTTAAATCCCTGGGCCCAGCTGCTGGTTTGCACGATGTAATACAGCAATGAAACCATCAGCAGTTGGTTTCAGGCTGACTGCATCCTGGGCTGCATCAGCAGAGGGTTGGCAGTGGGCAGGGAGGGTACTGTCCTGCTCTGTTCCCAACTGCAGTGCTGTGCCCAGCCCTGTCACGGCTGCTGTCAGCCACGCTGAAAGTAATGACAGCACAGTGCTAAAGGTCACCCTTAAGTACAAGAGAAACACAGCTGAAAATGCACCAGCATTGGTTTGTAATAGGTAATTCTTTTTAAGGAAAGCAGAGATACTGCAGAAAACTGAAGTCCTAATGCTGATCTTTGATATCTGTTTTTAGAGAACTTTACGCACTGGAAACTTGATCAGAATGGAGGAGATATGTGGAAGATCGAGGATCTGCCTGGACCTCTGGGGAAAGAGCTGCCAGACTCAGAAGTCCACAAATACTTTGTCACTTCGTTTGGGTAAGAGCTGCAATGTGGAACTGGAGGAAAACTGCTTCCTTCCTCCTGGCTGCAGTAGCACTGTGGTTAGGCATGAGGCAGGACAACAAACCTTATCCCAGAGACAGGGGAAAAAAAGGAGATTTTAATTCTTAATACTCTTCAATCTAAAGAGAGCGATGTGTTGCTGAAGGAATTAGTGAACCACATTGTGTGCTGACTTTCTCCTTCCTTCTACTAAATGTGGTGGGCAGAAGTTGAAGTCTGGCAAGCTGATGTGTTCACCTGACAAAGTCAAAGCCCTCAGCCTCTGGAAGCATGAGATGTTTGTTATGCAAACAGCTTGCACTAAAACCTGTCAACAGTGGAAGATCAACTGCTTTTCCATACTCAATATCTGTCGTGTGCATAGGAACCCTTTCTGATCCACTTTGTTGGATTCCTTTTATATGGGGTGAAGCTGAGCAGTTTGTTTCTGCTCTGGCTTTGGATAAAGGCACACCTCAGCCCTGTCAGCTTCGTAGGTACTCAGGGTCTGGGTGAGCATTCAGCGAGAGTCAGGCTGGTAGGGGAAGCACTGATGTTGAGAGATGCATTCTGTGAAGTTGTTTTGAATGCTTCTGTTTCTGTTGCAGGCCATGCTTCAAATCTCAACTGATTACTCTGCGGGAAGAAGGGTACTGGAATGAGCTGATGGATGAGAAACGGCCTGAAATTGTAGTCAAGGACTGGTAAGAACTGAAGACTAGAATTTCTAGCATTAAGACCTAGGTGTAAGCTGGGCCTCTGAAGCTTTTTGTGCTATAAAATTAATTCTTTGGGATCTGTAGCTCTCAAGTAAAGCGTAGGCTAAATCTTGGTTTATTCAGTGGGTTATAAGGTGAAGAAAAGGATAGCTATATGCTTTAGAACTTCATAGCTATGGGGGTGATATCTCTTTCCTCAATTTCAGATGGAGACTGTTTCTGAACAGTAAGGAAAACTGAATGCTGTGTATACAGCCCTGCTCCTTGATTTCTCCCTTGCTCTCTAGGTATGCTGCCAGATTTGACTGTGGTTGTCGCTATGAGCTCAGAGTGAGGCTGCTTTCTGAAAACTACATTGTGCTTGAGGAGTTCTGTCCTGAGCCAGTGGTCATAGAGCAGTGGAGTGACGCAATGTGGAGAGAGGTAAGCAGCAGCACTCCAGGAGGCAGCTTTACATCAACATTGTGATAAGGATCTTGTCTGAAGTCCCAGGTTGCCCTATTTTCTCTGCTCTAACGTAAGACAAAATGTAAGCCAGTCCTCGCTGTTGACAATGTTGAAGAAGCTTTGAAAGATCTAGGTTCAGTTTGTAAGTGTGTGAGATTTCCCCCCGTGGGCCCCTGTGCTATTTTGACTGGGCTTCTTTAAGTGTTTCTGTTCTTTATTTGAACTTTTGTCCAAGTAACCGAGTTGCAGGAGCACAGTTCTTGTTTACATTGGATCAAAAAGCTTTGTTTTAAAACAACTGCATGGGTGTAAGTGAAAGTATTGTAGACATTACTTTTCCTGATTTGTTTGTCTTGACTGGTTTGAATGGCTTGATTTGAGTGGCTGTGCATTCTCTCTTATGTTGTTATCTCTGTCATATACCGAGCTTAACATTATGTTTACCCTTCTGCCCTGTAATCCTATGAGTCAAATATGGCAGGCTTTTTTATTTTATCCTCCCTCAAATAAAGTGGTATGACGCATACTTTTATTAGAAGGTATTTTAGAACGAGCTTCTCCTAAGCCCAGGGCTCTATACCTGGAATTGTTTCACCTTCAATGTCAGTGCTGGATTATTTAGACAAAATAAGCAGAATTTCCTTTCTCTACAGATTTCCCACACTTTCAGCAATTACCCAGCTGGAGTTCGTTACATCTGGTTTCAGCATGGAGGCCAAGATACCCAATTCTGGGCAGGATGGTACGGGATCAGGGTGACAAACAGCAGCATCACCATTGGGCCACAGACATTGAAGGCAAATGAAGACACAGTATAAGTGTTTTCTTTTACCTCAGGACTGTGACCAGATGGTCTCAGGTGCACTTATTTGTCTGTACACTCTGGGTGAATATCCTGGCTTTGTCTTGCACAGCTGATGTGGAACAAGCTCTCCTTGTTTGCAGCAGAACTTCTGCAGGCCCAGCCTTTTGGAAGGACTTCTGTCTTCATCTGTCCTCCCTCACTGTGGCAATGATAATTCCTGGTGCCCTTCCATAGGAGGAAGACGAAGGCAATTAAATATGACATCTAAAGTGAATAGCATTTGGCTGTAGTACAAGTACATAGCAGTCTTAACTGGAAACTTTCTTGTTTATACAACTTAATTAAAACAAGGCTAAAATCTTTCAGTTCGGATTATCAACCCTTGTCTTGAGGACTCTGCTACAGACAGACTATAATACTATGGTATTTTTCTGTTTCAGTTTAATTACGTGCATAAAGATGTATTTTTCACAGCATTATGCAACCTTCAGTGTTCTTTATCCACATATGCTGTGTCACTGATATTTAATTCCTTAGTATACATGATCAAGTAAGTATACATGATCAAAGTGGTAGATGCCTTTCCTGTCCAAATACAGCCCGTTACCGTTGGAATGAACAAAAAAGAGGAAGGAATCCCTTAAGGTGGATACCTGACTACCTAAGTGCCTTTGGACTGCACTGCCTTTTTCCATATTACCATTATACTACCAAAGAACTTGGTTTGTACTGAACAGTAACCTTATATAAAATGTTAAAGCCACAAACAACTTGGAGACGTGGTGTTCTTGCACTTTTTGCATGGAGAAAGCAGGGAGGTGCTGTGCTGGCTGTTTTACCAAATTTTCTGTCCAACAAGCTTAGCTCACACTCTGTGTACCATTTCTTCTACCCCTGTATGCACAGGGCTGATATTAAGGCCCTCTGCCATATCCTTTGACAGAGGCAGGATAACAGTTTTGCCTTGTCTGCTAAGAGTGAGACAGCTGACAAGTGTCCTTGCAGCACAGACACATTCCACCATACTTCTAACACCATTTGTTGTGTGAAGGTTTCCCTATGGCAAGGGGAGACCAAGGTGGTACAGCCCTTCATAGGAACTGACACATCCCAGCCTTGTCCTAGAGAAGATGTAAAAAGGTGATGGAAGCTCCACATACAAAATAAAAATGCTTCTTCACTAAAAGAAAGTTGATTTGGACAGAATTGAGCCTGTTTCAACTGGAGTAAAACTTGATATTTATTGAAGACTACTTGGGACAGTCACAGTGGACAGATGCTACATAAGGCCTCACTCGCGCATGGTATCAGACCATTGCTCTAGTGGAGCATACAGCAGATCCCTGGTTAGCACTACCAGTGTGCAATGGAGATGTCCTGTTTAAGGCAAGAACTGGATTTGTACAAAGAGCCGACCGCAGTCAGCTGTATCCTACCCCCAGGGATTCACAGTAATGAAACCTCTACTCACTCTCACACATGAGTGTACATGGGAACAGGCTCTGGCTCCACATTCCAAGTCAGTTCTATATACACTGGTAAGAGCACTTGAAATAAAGAGGCAGCAGCTGCTCTACATTCATCCAGAAGGCCAGCTGAGGAGACTGGGCTATCAAGGTATGGTTGGTGAGAGATCTTACTCCGCTGGAAGATCAGATGAGGCTTGAAGAAAAGGAAGGTTGAAATCAGGTGCCTTTGTGGGCTCGTTCTTCTACATAAAGCTGCATCTGGAAGATAGAAACAAGTATCAGTTTCTGCTTGATAGCCAGATGGAGAACAGTCTGAAGAGTTTGTACCTTCCCTCATTAACAAGGTTTCCTGTTTTAACGTGAGAAGTCTTCACACTACATGTAGTTTCAGCCACCTCTCAGGCCAGAATGCTCTGCTCACCTTTAAGATGTCAGAAGTCATAGTTTTCAGTGGGATAAGCCGGGGGTCGTGCATGTGCACATCTTGTTCATCAGCAAGAATCCATGGGAAATCCTAGGGCAGGAACACAAGGAGCTTTATGTAGAGAGAGGTGAGCAGCTCCAGAAGGTGAGCTCACTTTCTCAGTGCTAGGTCAGCACTTAGAGTACATGAAGTGATGGGGATGGCACTGTGCAGGAAGTATTGGCACAATCTAATTCAGGCATCAAAGCAGCTACTGCCTGCAGCTGGTGTGTGGTAGATGTGCTCAGTCACCTCACCAGTGTAAACTGTAACACATTCAAAGCAAAGTCATGAACTGCATCATGTAAAAGCTAGCAATCTAGCACCCCTTAACCTCATTGAATCCAAAATTCTTCCATTCTTTGCAGCTTGCTCGTGAAAAGGCAGCCAAAGATACCATTTACCTTTATCACCTGGATCTTCTCCATATTGCGTGTAGCAGCCTCTCGTGTGTGAACCAGAACCGTGAAGGTGCAGCCTGTAAGAGAAAGGGCAGGCTGCAGACCAGGGGACAACCAACAGAGGCTCAGACACTGCCTGTAATCATCTCCCATGAAACAAATCCATGTCACTGGGCTGTGTGCACCTGCTTACCTGGGGGATTGTTGTCCAGCACAGCATCACACACGCTTATCTTCAGGATGAAGGCACGCAGTAATTGCTCCACGTGGGACAGCAAGGACTCTGAACTGTTAAGACAGCAGTTGTTAGTGGCACACAGCAAAGTACTGGGGCCTGGAGCATCTTCCAGAACACCTCTAAGGACACAGGGGTTGGATGCTGTGAGAAAACATGGGAATGGAATCTTTACCTAATGGAAAGGAGAGGTGGCTGGGTGATTTCAAAGACAAATCTCTCCACTGGGTGGTGCTCTTTATCCAGGATTACAACTACAACTTTCTCCACGTCATTCTGGAAGAATAATTGCAGTTAGAGAAGGTCCTTCCTTAAAACAAGCTGTCTTCTGCCCCCAGTTTGCTTCACTTCTGGTAGAGTATATTTATCTGCTGTGGAGCAGTGCTAAGAGTTATCCAAACCTTGAGCCCTGTCCTACGTCCAGGTTCTACATGCAGTATGATGTCTGCAGAGAGAAGAGAACGGAGGATGTGGGATGCCAGTAAGGTTTGCAACGTGTTATGTGGTCACACTTTTCTCTCACAAAAGCTTGTGTTCAAACCACCTTTGCTTTCTGGCTTACAGCACAGCACTTTAACTGTTCTCCTGCCAGATGGATGCTTCAACTCAACGTTCTGCTTTCAAATACACTTAAGTTCACGTGTAGAATGAGCTTATTGAAAATAGAGAAAGATTGATCCTCATGTTTATGCATTATAAGCAACTGAATGCCAGTGTTCAGCAGCATGCCTTGACTGCAAGGAAGAATTAAGAATGTTTTTATTCTTGATTAGTAACTTTAAAAGCAAGTATATTGTGTATGGTAAGTATATAAATAAACATTTTGAGATGAGAGCAACATTTACAGTCTTTTATTTTCTATCTAAACCACTCACAGTACATTTGCCCAGCACAGGTCCATGGTAAGATCATACCTTCTCAAGCAGTGGCTTTACACAGTGCAATGTGTCCTGGATGTACTGATTGAGCTCTGGGTGGCAGGACATCTGTAGCAAAGAGAGCAAACAGAGCTGTGTTCTGATGCCAACCAGGACAACGCTAAGAAGGAAGATCTAAAGACAAGATCTCTATTTCCTAGGGAGCCTGCCTTTGTGTTACATCCCTGCACACAGCAGGGGAAGCATTCTGCTACTGTCAGCCACAATCTGCTTGTGCTGTGAGTACTGCAGCTTCATGAAGGTCTCCTACCTGGACGGGTACGTTGTATTTTTTCCTCTTCTGAAAGATCCCAATAGGGTAAACTTCTCTAACGTATAAGATGAGATGAACAGCCACTTCTAAAAATTCTGAAAGAACATCTGCAACAACTGAAAAACAGAAGTAAAAGATGCTGAATATAGTATTGCTCTGCAACATTCATAGGACATTTTTAAAGACACCAACACACATCTCATCTCCTTCCTAGCTGTGGGAAGTTTAGGGCTGGAGCATCCTGCAAGCATCCAGTTCTCAGTGTAGCACAAACACATTACCTTGCCCAAAATTAAGGTCCTGTCGTGTCAGCGTGGTCATCTTGCCCAGAACCTGAAAAGCATCACAAGAAGAATATTTATCCTCTAGCTTTTATGGTCTTAACACAGTTCAGGGATCGCTTCACCTCCCTAATGCCAACAAGCTGCCCTCTGAGCTCAGTGACAAGCACGTGTACACAAACCCAAGGGGCTCACTGTGACACATTGAAGCACGTGATCAAAAATCACCAGTAGTGCAGAAAATGAAGACAGCATCTTTTTGTGTTCTGTCTCACCCCTCACACGGTGAGCTTCTCTTCTCATTCAGGGCAGGATTTACACTTCCCACTGACTCCACATCCCACATATTCCCCTGCTGCCTGAGTCTCTTCACAAACCCCACACAACCATATAATTCACCTAACATGGAATCTGTCCTGCAGGAATTTGTGACAAGGGCAGCACATTTGGTGGCCAAATGGAGCACTGTGTATCAAAGAATCAAGCAGCTGCAGCTCAGCATCCCAACAGGTCGGTGTCTCGAGTGTATTTTAGGCTGCAACATACAGAACTGCTGATTGCAAATTTTCATGTTTCCTTATTTTTGTCATCCTCTTTGTATGCATGCAAACTACCACTAATGTGTTCTTAAATGCCTCCAGGTCCATCAGGAACACAGATGCCTCACACAGAGCTCTCAAGCCCTGCTCACTCCTATCAGCTGTTTAGTTACCAACTGCCAAGCTGCTCCAGCCATGAAACGTGGTTTTCAGATCTCTAATGAGTTACTTCACAAAATAGGGAGGTAAGAGCTTCTACCTTTCTTTAAGCAAAATCTTAGAAGCATTAAGACTGCAAAAGAGCTCTGTGATCATCCAGTCCAACCCAACCCACCGTGCCCACATCCCTCAGTGTCACATCTCACTGAACGCCTCCATGGACACCGACCCCACCGCTCCCTGTGCAGCTGTGCCAGCACATCGCCGCTCCTCCCGAGCACAAACCTTCCCC